ATTGTTAAAGGTTATTCTTCTACCAATACAAGTGTATGCCCACGTATTTCTTCATTAAAGTGTTTATATATATTATTTGTTAAAGAATATATTGTTTGCTTGTTTGGTTTTGTGCAAAGCCACATTAAGCTCTTTGCAGTTCACAGCAAAGAATTAAACCCTGTAAACTTACCATGACTCACGGGATGGCCTTATATACACGTTGTTGTTAAAGGGTTAATTTATATGTTATGTAGTTTTCATTACTAGAGAGTTTTGTGTGTGTGTTTATATATATCAGGGTTCGAAATTTGCATCGTTAGCCAGCCCTGACCAGCTAGGAGCCCCATGGGCTTCCTAGAATAGCAAAAAAGAAGATTTAATCATCCCAACTAGAGCTTAAAGTACATTTTTTTATGTTACTTTACCTAAACACACACTCGTGTTTGTCTCATGAAAGTTTCTTTACTTCACTCTCCCAGATGGAGCTTCCAGCTTTCTGGGGATACCTAGCCTATTCTTAAATATTATGGGAAATTCCTATTATGTGTGAAGTGAAAAGGGAGTTCCTGGAACATGTGAATAGCAGGATCGATCCAAACGAAGTGTGACGAATATTAACATCTTAATAGAGAAATACCTTACTGTTTGATCAGTCTTAAAACAGTAATCTCAAGCCACCTTATTTTTATTTTATTTGGATTAAAATAATGTGTTTAGTACATTACAAAGTGTTATAATAAAAACTGTCGTCTTCCGTTGAGGAGTTGTGTTTATTGTTACACACAAATACACGCATACATATTTGTAATTGTGTCTTTCTTAAAAAAATGGAATTAACATACATACATATGTACATGTTCCTGGAAAGGGCTACGTAGGATTTTGTGAAGAACAAATTAGAAATTTTTGACCTCTAATACACACACACATATTTATATATATATATATATATTTCATTTAATCAATCTAAAATACAATTTCCATAATATTCTCTTTTACTGGGTATGTATGTATAATTACAGTATTTTTCGGTGCATAAGACGCACTTTTTTACCCCAAAATTTGATGTCAAAATCTGCTTACGTCCTATACACCGAAGGTACGAATAATATATATGTATATACACGATATACACAAGCCCTGTGTAAATATATTTAAATACGCATGCATAGTTTGGTTCAATTGAATGCGTATTTATAACAATAGTAGTTTTTTTTTCTTTTAAAAACATAACTATTTATAATGCTCCCTAAATGATAAAAAATAAATTACAGTGAAAGCAATGAAGATTTTGTAGGTTTTGAACCAAACTAGATAACAGTAAACCTTTTTTTTTATTTACGATATTTTCTTATTTTGATGTTTGAGCTCTTTTGTGTTTAGAACAATTTTTTAAAATATCAAATTGAATTTTTGTTCAATAAAAATCTTTCAAATGTGACTGTAGCTTTTTTCCCCCAAAAACTTTGTCTTCAAAATAAGGGTGCGTCTTATACACCGGTGCTTCTTATATTCGGAAAAATACGGTATATAATTCTATGAAAAAGGTTTTCTTTAAGAATTATAATTTACTCTATTGAGTGTTGCAAAGTTTAAAGTTAAATTCAAGGATTTTTATTTTGATTAGTCCATTTCATATTAATTTTAAATTATAGTTAAAGGTCTTTTGTTTTATGTATTATCTTGTATTCTAAGTCATTTTTAAAGGGTTATTTTCTTGTATCTACATGTAGTTCTATATTAAAAGGGTGTGTCATTCATGTGGCATATAACTGTTTGTAGAAACAAAGGAAAGTTAATGTGATTCTTGGCCATGTTGCAAGTTTAAAATTTATTGGTTTTAAAATGTATTTGTTCTAGATGCTCATGTCTTTGTTATTCTTTACAGCAGACAATATCTACTTTGTCTGTTGAGATACTGCTACAACTTTACCCTGTGTATCAAAATAGGTCAACGACAGTTACATCTTTCATTGGCCAATTAGATGATGTCTGTATGTTATAGCCTATGAATTCTCTGAGAGAAACCACCAGTGATGCTCATTATAATTGAATAACTTTGAGGTTATCTATTAGTAGGAAAATTTAGTTTTACATTCAGTTTTGTCTTTTTTAACAAGCCTACTTCGTCTGAGATCTGTCTCGAGAGAAAGAAAGCTGCTGATCTACTCACTGAACCAGTAGAGGTGATTGTCCTTGTATCTATGCAAGTAGGCACACTGTAATTTTTTAGTCACAAGTAAAGATTGTTCTTATTTTACATTTCTCAAACAGATTAAAACTCAGCTGTCAGTCAAGTTCAAACTAATCTGTAAATTTTCTACTTGATCCTCCCATTATTAAGTATACCTATCTAATACTTAAGTGGAAATCAGGGTACCTAAGAATACAACACTATGATAATACCATGATCTACTATAGTAAATGCTTATAAAGGCTGTGCAATCCTACTCTTATAAACCATGTTATTAGCACAGTCAAGGGATCTTGCCATAGTATGCAATCCCTGAGATGATACCTTCGAAATACTGAGCTTTCAGGATAGCTTCATAAAAATATAGGTATGGTTGTCACCTCCAAGATGCAAAAGGAACTCTGTCCCATTTCTCTACATAAAAAGTTTCTACTGCCAGATGTAGCTAATTACCAAAATATTTTTGAGAACTATTTTACACAAAAACTATGTACGGAGATTGAGCTTGATCCTACAAGTGTTTTCTTTTATATACACATATATATATATAAATCCCAAATGAAAAAAAAAGGTAAACAAAAATATTTTCACCTGCAAGGCAGTATAAAACTGGCCACATTGGTTAAAAACAGACCAGGTAGAAACCCCAAATATAAGATCTATAAGTGCTATGATATGAGGCTACACTTATAAAACAATAAAGTAGACATACATATAATGTCATAGGTTTAAATCTCATGCCTAGATTACATTAGAAGGCATATTTAGATCATTATACCTATATATATGTATGCCAGATGAAATGCAATTGAAGAAACAATTAATTTGTAATAAAATATCTACATAAACATTTGTAATCTTCCTTGTATCCTCATCTCCAACTGCATTTCCATGATCATAATGCCTCATATATAAAAGGTTGAAGAACCCTCTTGTATGATCCACAGAAAACATTACTATCGAACTGTTCATTCTTGTCATTACTGAGTACTGAATCATCATCAATGTCAAAGCTATCATGCAAATTGAGTGAATACTGTGCATTATCCCTTGAAATGACCATGTCCTGGTGTGAAGCCATGCGATAAAACAAATGGCTCGGTTGTTTGCTTAAATTTCCTCATTCTTAGGCACATAAAAAAATTAGTTTTTCTTCCCTATATAATCAAATTAAAAACTAAAACTCTGTCATTAACTGTTTGAAATATACTTTATTTCAAAAATATAATCTTTCTCTACTGGACTAACTCTTTTAAGTCAAAATTAAATTTTTAATGTCACTTTTTCACAGGAATGGCTAAATGCACAATCTGAAAATTCTGAAGTTAGTTAGTGACAATGGTAACAGGAAATATCATCCCTTTATCACGCAGTTAAAAAATTTAATTACTATCTAAACTAATATAAAACTAACATATTAAAAAGACAACCAAACATGCATAGTTTGAGAAAACAAAATGTCAGTAGTGATGAATTTCACTTATACAAAAAATAATTTTTAACTTTATTACATATTTTAATCCAGATCAGTTGCTCTGTAAACCCTGAATATTATTACACTTTTCTTTAATTCATTCATTGGACAATAGTTTCTTACTGTCTATTATATGGAGGTATTTTATCAAGTCATATACACAGAAAAAAAACTTTAGTCACTGGATACAAATGCAGCTACAAAAAAGCAAAAAATGTCTTCAGATAGTAAAATATACTAGATTCAGGGGAGATCATACAATCATATATCCACAGAGATAAAAAAAGTAGATTAAGAGCATAACAATTTTTATAATAATAATTCATGCAAAACCCAGAGAAAATTAATATGTGATCTTGAATTAAGCATCTTCAACTAGTAATTACTAGTAATATATTCTACCAATTCTACTCACCAACAGATTTCCATTGCCCCAAAGTCAAGTTCATGGATATTGACGAGATTAAATACCAAAAGCCATAAAACTAAAATATTAATTTGTATGCTTAAAAAATTATATTTTAATACAACTTCAAAGATTTTTATGTTTTGTTGTCAATTACAAAATATTTCATAGTAGTGTATTCCTACACTAAGAGTGAATAAGCTTACTGATAAATAATCTTTTTTAGTACCTAAAACAATAATTGGAGTTCACCAGTTATACAAATCTACCCACTCTGATATTCATTTAAAGTACAGGAATCTATACAGGATTAAATTATTGTAAAGTTCTGCTAATTTTTAGTCTACCTTATAATGTATATATTAACTGAAGTATAAAAAACATTCTAAAACTAGTTGAATCCACAAAATAACTTAGTGAGACTGTTTACTACATAACTTTTAGTTTGTCAATTAATGTTTCTCCATAACTCTCTCATAGAAAAACTTCTCATATTAACTGTTAACCATTAAAATGTGGTTTATCAGATAGGGTAATGGTGATTTGGTGAGTCTCCATATTTTAGATGGATTAACACCATGTTTCATCAGTTACCTACCACTGATCTTTTACAGAAATAACCTTTTCACTTTGATTGAGAGCATTACCAATAAAAAATTAATTAATTTTGAACTCTTTTTAATAATGAACATACTTTCCCATGTATGAAGTAGCTCTTTTACTAAACTCAATACTTGAGAGGACATCAAAAAAGTTATTAAGGCTAGTCATACTGGCTAATCTGGTATAGAAAGAACAAATATAAAGTTAGGACTAATAAAATTAATTGCTACTGGAGTTGAATAATGAACTTATTTTTGTTTTTGCAAAAATTACTTGAGTTTTTTTACAAAACCTTTTATACCATTGACTGCTTATTATTTTATTTGAAGCTTCACATCAGTATTTATGTCTACCTGTTTTCATATTAATGTTTGAAACTTTTGTTTTATCTATATCAAAGTCACAAGTTAGTATTTTTTTTATCACAATTGTATTCAAACTGTAAATTTATCATGAATACATTAAATGTATTACTCAAACTTAAGCATCTTCTCGTGTACTTTTTTCAAACATGTAATACATTTTGAAACTTATAAATCCTAACGTTTCCCTAATTTTAGTTTAAAAAATTAGTTTTGACACTTCTCTCAATAAAATTTTGTTTGTGAATTTACATAATTCAAGAGAAATGCACTTCACAGTGACTCCAACAACAACAACAAAAAAAAGGATAAGTAAAAAATATTAAACATCAACCTATTATGCTGAATTTTTTCAAATAGAAAATCAGCATCCTGTCTTAAAACTGGAGTCATCTTCAATGTAAAACATTTTAATATTTTTACTGATATTATAAAACCAACTAAACACAGAAATGTATAGTAAAAGGGTCATTTAAGTTGTTTTTGTACTAAGTTAAACAAAACAAATTCATTAAAACCTATGTCATAACTTGTACTTCAATAACAGTAACTGGCACATTTTTTCATAGACTGCAAAGCTCAACCCAGTTGACAATGCTGACTTAAGTAAGCTAGGAGAGAAACCTTTGTACAAGCCCCCAAATCCTTCCTCCTTCAGAACTGTCATAAGACAATGAATAATTCCAGTGTATAATCTTGGAGAACCAAAGGGTTGTCTGGCTTTTTCAAAACCTTGAACTTGAAGTCGTTTCTTAATTAGATCTAAGGGATAGACTACAGCTTTTGCTGACATTCCAGCACAGGATCCACACACTAGGCTTTCAGTTATACCTATCAAATGATGCTTTATGTTATTTAATAAAAAAGTCAATAAAATATTTGTATTATACTTATTATTAAAAATTAAATATCTTTCTTAAGACTTGTATAATCTAAAAATATATATTTTTTTTATATTTGCAAAGTACTGAATACTTTAAACTGTATTCCCACATTATTAAGATATAAAACACACCTATTTAAAACTAAACAATAAATACACAGCCAAAGTATTAAAACTGTCAATTATATGCTATAAATAACAGGTTCTTTATTATGATAATTTAATCTTTCAATAAATTCTATAAAATACTTTTAAATTACATTCATAACCAAATCTCAGAACACAAATGGCAACCAAGATTCATGAAATGATTACAGGCAAAAACATTGTACATGTAAAGCTTTCATTCTTTAAAAGTCAGATTAGTTCTCTACGTTTTACAAAAAATTAAATCAGCTTTCAACTTCAGAGGAAGAAAAGAAAGCATTAAATTTTCAATAAGCAACGAGTGTAAACCTTAGTTTATACAGCTCTTTATAATAATTGTAATATATATATTTCATGCCATGCTAACTATCATTATTTATCTAAGCCTAAAGAGCTGTATAAGCTAAGATTTAAAAATTTTTAATCACATATTTTAGGCTTATAAATCAAAAACTGCCACAATTACTCAACTAATTTCATGGAATCTTACAAATAAACAAACTTCTAGAACTTAAAAGATAATCCAAAATGTGAATTACAAAAAAATATCTCACCAATCTTTGTATCAGTGATTTTTAAAGCAGTATTCCATATCTCCTGAAACAATCGATAGAAGCCAAACTGGGCACCCACATAAGGACCCACTTGAAGGAGTGTAGGAGAAAGACCTCTATACAACTTAAAAAATCCTTCCTCTTTAAGTATAGACTGTACTGCATGTATTGTGCCCTTGTACATCTAATAGAAAACCATGGTATCAAACACATTATTGTAGAAAAATTATTCTTAGAACTCTGAAGTTTTTAGTTGTCTTAACATAATTTTATCATAATAAAACATGAAGCTTTACCTCAAGTTCATTCTAATGTTTTCTCAAATTGTTAATTCAGGTACACATTGGGCTACTCCTGAACTAAAGTTGACTAACTTATTAACACCTGACAGTCTAGAACTGTTTAAGATTTCATAATCACCAAAGCTTTGTGTGTGAATCATAAGCTTAATCATCAAAGCATGTGAAAGTTCTCCACTTGAAAAATATTTACACAAGGAAAAACTGATGTACGAAAACAGGCAATGTGGTTGTAGTATAAAATATTTATCCTTGAAAGGAAGTTAATAAATGAAACTTGTTTATTTATTTTTATTTCACAATCTTACTGAATATTTAAACAAAGTTTTAACACATTTATGATTAATCAGTTCTTGTAAAAGTGAGTTATCTAGCTAAAGGAAAAGTATAAAATGCATTAACCAACATCATGACAAAACCATTCAGATTTTCTATATTTCAAGGTGTCAAAATAAGTGTTTATAGGCCTACAGATTAAGTATTTCACTTTTAAAAAAAGAATTATCAGCTGGCCTGATGCATATATATGCAAATATATATTCAAGTTGGTCACAGCTCTTAAATGCATGTGAAGTCTACATTTGTAAATTTCGTTTCATTCAAGTGAAAAAAAAGATATCTATTAAGTTCAGTTCCATGACAATAGTAAGACTTCAGCATTTTAAAGATTAGAATACAATATTTCAATATTCCAGAGCATTTGGAGTATAGGTAACTTACTATAATACAGCAGAGTTCCACAGATTCAAGTATGAAATGTTTTCCTGTTTAAAACAAGGGACACATTGTCTCAAACTAATTCAACACAAAGTGTTTCCAGACACATATCGAAGAGCTGTACCAACTCATGCTAATCAGCGATGTTACACTCATCATAACAGTGGTAGTGCAGGAATACTAAAAACAAAACTTCAGTATTAAACCAGCAACAACAGTGTGTTCATTCAGCAAACACCACCATTAAGTCAACAACATTATGTAACACCAATGTTCATTCCGCAAATATCAGCATTAAGTTAATAACATTATGTAATACCAGTGTGTTCATTCAGCAAATACCAGCATTAACCCTCTGGACACAGGTAGGTCAAAGTGTGCATGTCATGATCTTTTACAGTTATATTCAAAATATAATTGAATTACTTTGTTATCAATGTATATAAACTTGGCATCAAAATATAGTTTATAATTCAAATTTTAATACTATATTAGTTTTAATACAATTATATAACACAGATATTTTTTATTGATTTTACCATGTTCTGCGAGATATTTGACCATTTAGATTTTTTTTAGTGTTTGACAGTTAGAGATTTCACAAGTTTGGTTTTTGGCTTAAGATCCTGCTTATTTTTGAGCAGTTAAGAGTTTAAACTAATTTATAATTTTTATAGATGTCCCTGCAAGTTAAATTAGCTAAAAGAATGACAATTTCATCAAACTTTATTTTGGTAGATCTAGACAGATTTCCATCCCCACTATTCTTTCTCTTAGCAAGTCAGAAAAATTAGCCAGCTTAGAGAGAAAAATACAATGCAATGTCTGAGTAACAAAACCCAGAGAATCATTTGGAAGCTGAAGCAAATAAAATCTGAAGATCTAACAACATAGGCATTCTCACCATAGTGTGAGTGTGCAAAGCTATCTAGAATGTTCATAAAGTAGAAATTATAAATAAAAGGTTCTGGTGGAAATTTTACACTCATTTTGTATGTGATTTTTACTTCCCAAAAACGTTAGCCAGGAGAATTATGAGAATGTGATTTATTGCTGACATTCTGGGTGTATGAGGGAGGGTGTACGACGTGAGTATAGACATAAAAAATTAATTTTCAAACTGTTTGCAAAAATTCTTAAGTTGGTTATAAGCTGAAATATAATATTAAAAATACTTCATTTAAGGCCAAGGTTTACAAGGCTATTTAAGCATAATAATGACTCTAGTAAACAAAGGCTTAACAAGATGTACTTAAAAGGTACCTTTGGTTCTCCTTGAGCAACAAGTCTTGTACGTATGACATCAAAAGGTTGAGCAGCTATTGTTGCCATACAACCAGATATACCTCCACAAGTAAAGTGAACAACAGGTCTCCAGTTCTTTGTTAATGTTGGTGATAGTAGTTTCCAAACACATTCAGTGAGGACTTCAAATGATACAAACTAAAGAAAAAAAATGATTATTATGTAAGTGAATACCAAGTATATGACAATCAAAAAGATAGATAGTTGGTTATAAACTTAAATCTGTTACACACAAACCAACTGATGTAATGGCTTGAATATGAACATAAACTAAATTTATAAAAATCACATTTGGATATCTTTATAAATAATGCATCTATTCAAACTAATAATAAGAGGTAATGAAAATATGATTTTTTTTCCATAATGGTCACCTCTATCATTAAGGTAAATTTTCTTAATTATTGGTAAATCTGTGTTCTTTGACTGTTTTAACAGAAATATCAATATTAAAACAATAACAACGTAAAGTATTTGTGCCTATGTTGTTGTTTTTTCATGCTAAATTTACAAATTGCAACACTGATGTGAAAGATTTCTTTTTCACCTCTATTTTCATATTTTGAATACTTATTGTTTTAGACTAGTTGGAGCTACTAATAAATAAAACAAGAGAAAGCAGTTTATTTTAGTATGATGAAACTCCACTTATTCAAGAACCTCTTTTGCAGCAAAGGGACACTTAGCTATTTCCTACCGTGTTTCAGTTAGTTAATTAGACACACAGATCAATGTTTTCCGTTTCATACTTTTACCAAGAATTGTTTTGTGAACCTCAGTTAAACATAACCTGGCATAGATGCTGTTAGTATAAAAGGATTTTATAAGTATGTCAAAGCAGAATGTGAAAGTAACGTATATCTAATTTAAAATTAGGACAACATCTTGGGACAGTATATGTATTGAACTAGCACTTTTATGTGTTTATTCACATCATCATCAGGTACAAATTCATAAAAGTAAAGACTTCCTCCTATTTATTCTTGCAACCGAAACATGGCAATAAATCTTATCAAAATATTTTAAAAAATTAATCTGTTTAGACCTCTTTACACACACACACCGTGTAGCTATTCTGTTTGGTCAATTTTTATTAGAACACATTATTAGATTTTTATTAGTATTTATTTGCCTCTGCAAAATGGACTTCAGAGATGTTGCAATATCATGATTGGTCTACAAGTATGACCAAGAAGCATAATATTGCTACCTATTCATCAAGATGGTCATAATCAAAGAGCATTTTGATACTGTATGTTCAAATATACCTTTCAGCAAAAAGGAGTATGTCTATTACTAGTAAAATTCATAGTTATTAATTGCTGGAAACTTGTCAAGGGAAAAGATGTCTGAACTGACTTATTATGTGCAAAAGATGTCAGCTGTATTCCAATCCTTCAAAATGGTCAGGATTTGACTATCTCCAACTGTATATGATACAAAAAACACTGGAGAACTATCACATGGCAATTAACAACCAGCAAGGTTGTCAATCTTACAATATGGTGGCCTTTTGTTTTTACCCAATATTGTATTTTCTTAATTGACATCATTAAAAGAAAACAGTTTCAATTTATATGTATATTGAAGTTTTAATATGAAACTTTTTTTTTCACAGAATGTCCATAAGTTTATGGACAGTTGGCAACTTTGACAACCAGTCTGAAAAGTACTTATTTCAGCTTCATGTGTGCTTACAACATAAACTATAACGAGTCAAGCTTCATCATTTTATACGCTCATGTTAGAGTAAACAATATGGAGCCAAACCAGATTTTCATGCTATTTTGAATACTTCATGTAATTGACTACTTGGACTTATCTTGACTCTTTCAATCTGTAAAACTGAACATTGTTGCTGAACACGTCTATCCCATGATTCTGAAGTTTAACATTGATGGACAAGAGCTCATCCAACAAAATAATGCAACAATTCATGTTCATATAGATCTCATATATATACTCACACACATACAATGACATGAGTTTTCCAAAGAAGCACACTGATGCAAATAAAATAAATAAAAAAACGAATGAACCTCAGCTCTACCACTTTCAACACGACACTATCTTCCTCAGAAGCAAAGAGAAATAAAATACATATTTAAATATGCATGTTTTAAGTTAATATAAATGCACAATGCTAGATGCTGATGTTTGACTCAGTCCTTTGAAAATTGAGTGTCAAGTGACAATTTTGGATCAAAATTTCACAAACTGAAAACCTTGAAATTGAATGTTTGAACAAATATATTTAAATTAAATACTCTTATATTTTTATTAGTACTTTCGTTTTTGCTTGCCAGTATTTAATAAAGAAATTTAATTATATCATAAAAAACAGGCAATGCTCTAAAAATCGTCATTTTAAGAAAGTTAACTTTTTGTTAATATATGCCACAGATTATTGACACATATTCTGTTTACATTTTCATGCTAAACTATTTATATTCTTGAGGGAGTGATATTCAATTAATAATTAATTCAGTAAAAGTAAAGTTCAATGTGTATCTTTTGTGCTAATAATTTCAGGAATATTTCCCAAGTGGCAATGTATTTCTTTTTAAACTGAACTTTTCAACATAACTTAATACTATCTATTCCCACTTTCTTGTGGTATTCCAAGTATTCCACTATTGGGCACAATAACACTGGTAATTAGCAATGCATCCTCATCCTATCCATGTGGGTGGGCCTTATTTTTTTGTTTCATATCTAGTAGGGGCAGTGCTTTTTTGTATACTATAAACTGGTGTGAAAGAATATGTAATAGTAGCCTGATAAATGAACTGAAAACTCAGTAATACTGTGATATGCAGGCACACTGTATGTTTTCTACCTCCTTAGTTGAAATACAGAATCTTTAAAAGTTAACATTTTCATAAACTTAACATGTATTTCCAATAGATACTTACCCCCTTTCACAAAAAGATTTATCAACTAGTACTGCCCTCTATCGGTGCAAATTTGTCACTTGCCACTAGCCTTGTAACTCCCACTTCTTTCTGCATCTCAACATGTAAATGATTATGCAGCAACCCTCCACCTATGGGAGTGCGACACTATCCCAATAGTAACTAGCACCCTCTCTACTCATGCACTTGTTAATTTATAACTAATGGAACCAAATCACACTGGAAGTGAGGAAGACAAGTGGGAAATGTAAGTGGAGGTAAATATCTATCAGAAATACATTTTCACTTTAGGAAAATGTTAACTTCTGACATGATATCTTACCTTCGCTCACAAAAAGCTAGAATCCCACATTGAACTGGTGGAGGATCAGTGAGAATATGATCCTCCTTGAGAAAGCACCCAAAGAAAGACCATTAAGTGTAGTGAGGAATGAAAAACATCACACCAGTGGGAGACTGTACCACTTCTGAGCCAGATATACTCTTCACCCTTCAGGAATGTGTCCCCAAAACCTAAAGGGTGAAAACATAGAAGGCCCCCAACAATTTTCAACAGGAAAGGATCTCCCAGGTGTCGAGTGGCTAGGGTGTGTCAGACTGTAAATGTGAGTTCAACCTCAACCATCACCTGGTGGCATCTGGAATTGTACATCAGGTCTGCAATAGGAAGACGGCCCTCTACCCTTCACCTCAAAAATGGGCACCAGACAGGAATATGAGCATCTGTACCAAGAAACTGACTTTGCTTGTGCAAACCTCCAACACAACCAACACCTGATCCATCGAGAACCAACATCCAGCAGATGGTAGGATGTAAGGAGAGCTTAGAAGGCATTTACCTCCGGGCCAAAACCTAACAGCAATGGGAATGTTACGTCCAGTCTACAGCAGGAACAAGGTAGCCAGCCTTACACATGCGAGTAATCATATGTTTTGTCCAACATCAAATAACACCAGATCCACTGGGAAATGACATTTAGAAGCCTGTAGAAAGAGGGTCTGCAATTTGGGGTTGTACCTACAATCCAAAACCTGGTGGTATTGGGAATTTATCATCCAGTCTGCTGGAGGAGGAGGAGAGAACCAGTTAAACACATGTGAGAACATGTGGCTGGACAGTCTCCAACAAACACCTGACCCAACTAGGAGTGCTACAACCAACACCTGGCAACACCCAGAACTGTACATCAGATCCATGGTAGGAAGAACATCACACCATCGACAACACCAGAATGCCACCACCCTATTCTCAACTGAGTGGTATTGTACTTCACTCAGAAGGACTGGCCTCCATGATCCACACCCCAGCAGCTAGGAACTGGGAAGCAGCAATGAGTTCCATATTCCATGAGAAGCGGGGGGGATGTGTTGAAGAGTCCAGAGGACTGCAGCACTGGAGAGAGTGCAATGGTAACTGCGATACTCAATTTTGAAAAGCAGAGCTACCACGTTGACAGAGTCAATCAACCAACACCTGATGGCATCTGGAATTATACATCAGGTCTGTGGTAGGAAGAGACTCAATGCCACAGAGCATAAGAGATGGGCAGTAATCCATATCTGCTTTACTCATGTAATTTCATGAGTGTATAGTCTGGGATGAACCCCTATGGAATAGTCAGATTGAAGCTTGACGATGTACCCCTTAAGAAGCCCAGACCATGAAAAGGATGAAAGCATTGTGTAGGGAATCCTTGTTGTCCAAACTGAGACTCTGGAATTCTTGACTGTTGGTATATGTACCCCATTCCTAAAGCAAGGCATTCATGAAGAGAATGGAACTCTGGACAAGGTGGCAGTAGAGGAACCCAACTCATAGTAGTGTCCCGACTTAACAACCCCTTGAGATCGAGGAACGATCCAGACGAAGGAAACTGGGGAAACCAGGAAATAGATGTGTATGATCCCTGGTTGCTTAAAGACCAATAAATGGATAACTTGTGTTCTCGTCCCAAAGGCACGAATAATTCGGGTGATGCTAACATTTCCAGAAGAGAAAGAACCAACCATGCAGTAGGAGGAGAGGTGAGTAAGAGTGTGGTATCCTATTCTATAGCATTAAGCAGGATGAAAGACATCTAAGCCCAACTGAGAGACGAGATGAAAATTAAAAAGTACCCAGACTGATGACATATTGAATTGCAGCAAGAATAGATGTTGCAATCCCGAAAGGGAGGACTGCCTGGGTTGTATCTGAAAGTATAATCAGGATGTGATGGTCTAACAATTGACAAGATGTTGCCAACAGCAACCAGTCAATCATGGAAAGGTGTGTACACAGTACTATTGAATGAAGGGGACGAGAAAACTCGTATCATACGGCAGAATCCATGTTAAGCCTATGCAAGTCTGAAATAGATAAGAATACCTGACCCATGTGTACCACAAATATCGATAGTGGTGGGACTCCACTGTTAAGGCAAGGAGCAGATAGGACCAAACAATAACCAGGTTGGACAGTATAATCCCAGTAAAAAATCAACACTGATTGAAGAATGAGTAACTTCAGATAACCCTAGAACTAAGTTCCAAATCCTGATGAACTGCGGAGATTGAAACCCTACAGGTTAGGTTGATAATAGTGAAGAAGATGTAGATTGAATGACGAATTGTAATCCAAGAACCTGCAGGGCTTCTAGACCTATGGTTAAGATTACCACACATCTAGAAATTCTTGAAACCAAGCCCCCACAGCCCCTAAGGTTATACAATAATCACCGATGCTAAGCAGTAGAAACCTTGGATATAGACAAAAGCTATTCTGAGTACCAATTTACAGACGAGGTGATGTCGTGAGTCGGTATTCACGAATAGGGGCGGAACTATGACCACTCTGTAGGAGGAGCTGATGAAATTTGACACTCCAGAAACAACAGGGAGGAATGTAGAAGCCAAAAGCTGAACCAATGTGCATGCCAACCATGGATCCAGAATGTCCTCAATGAAGCTGGTGATAACAAAGTGAAGTGAAAGGAAACAAAAGTTGAGTTGTAAACCCTTGGACTTACTCTGTCCCAACAAGGGGCACAGACCTATATAGGTGAACTACAAACTCTGCCTTAAAACCCCAAAATTCGAGAAGATGTATTATTTGAGAGTCGGAAAAATGGCTCCACCTAGTGGTGGTAGGCGAAATCACGATGTTCCGACACATTGATTAACTGTCCCTTCACGTAACTAAAAAGTAAACCTCAATATATGTGTATAGAGAAAAAAAAACTAAACATTTCCTCCCAGACCATTCAGCCATCAAATAAATTGCAGGATTAAAACCAACTGGGAAAAAGCCCAAAATATCACACACTCGAAGAACCAACAGAAGAAAAACAAATTAAAGGCAGCTTATGCCAAAGTCGCATCCTTTTCATTTTTTTATATGTCATTTAAAGACTATGGTGATGATCATTGATTGTAACAGCATTTTGAGAGGTAAAGCAAGTTGTTTAGTTAGAGCAAAGCAACTTCAGGGCATCTGCCATGCCCACCCTAGAGAATCGAACCCTAGATCTGTAAACTTACCACTGACACACAGGGGGGCTGAAGAAATCCAATCTAAAAGAAGGCACAGGAAAAAAACGAATCTAAAGTCTCTCCAAAATGCTGAAGATCATCCTCAATTGCAACCTTAGAGCCCCTTGGAGAATCAGCACAGATCCAAATATATGTCTCCACCTTATTATGAATAAGATCAATGATAGTCTCAACTGAAAGTGACCCCCCCCCCCGATTATTGTGCGATGATATATATCAGAAGTGGGAGAGGAGAGACTCAATTTACCTTTGTGCCAGAAATAATAATCCAGGAATACATACATTAATTGGCTTGCCAGATAGGAAGAAGAGTTTTTTCGTTATTATTATTGTTATGAAATCAACTAGAGAACAGGATAACATTCAAAGTATCTCCAAACAATCGTAATACTGCGAAACCCATTAGTGACGCTTTGTCGAGAAAAAGTGATAAAATTATCTGAATGAAGTGCTTTTATACAGTATCAGAATAGAGGGCACATTGACATAGGTGGAGAGTATCACGAGACCTATATCACCAAGGGCAAGTGAATGAGGTATAAAAGACTGAAGCAAGCAAGAAAAAATCAAAACAATGCTTACATGGGCAGAATGAAATCCTGGCAGTTGAATTATAGCTATAAGTGGCAGTGGAAGTATGTTTTGGAACATCCCTTACTTTGAAGAGAAAGTGATCAGGAGTCACATGGGTAGTGCTTCTATCCTTAGAAGAATGCCATTGTTGTTACATAGTGCCATATTTTCTCAGTCTGGAACTACAACTTTTGATAGAACTTCAACTTGGAATAAAAATACTTTTAGAATTTGGTTCAACTCTCTTAACTTGAACTGATATGGAGAATATCCAATAAACGTGCCACACTTACACTCATCTTTAACTCTGATTGCAGTTTCAGTTTAATAAAGATTGTTTTACTGTGTGCAACTTATGTCCAGTCTCCTTTTTTATGCCAGAATCAGTCGAGGTCAGAGAAATATTGCTCAGTTATACATTTTGTGGCAAGCCTCCAGTTATCCTGCAGTTCCTACCCAATTACTCTAATGGAAATTAGTAAATCTGAGCATACCACAATAACAACAGGTCATTTTTTATTTGTTGCCTGCTGTTGTATTGATACTGATACAGTTGATTCAATGCCTCTTATACTAATATCCATTATGTAGAACTGTAAGCACCTATAGTTTCTGTTTAATGAAAAAATGAAGAGATATTTCACATTACATGAACAAAGAATAATTGAAAGATTGACAGTTGGGGATCTCAATAACTAATTATTATTCTTACACAAAAAAAAGTTTCACAGTATTTTTGCTTATCTTTAATAAAAAATATGTGATACAGTGACTACTGTATATTTAAAACCCTTTTTAGAACGTAAAACTATGTGTATTATATTTGTATTATTCATGACTTTATTTCCATACATTCTCAATTTATATTAAACGTTACCATGCTTCACATTTTATAGTTACCATTACTTTTACAGATATAAGTTATGTCAGTAGAATATAGTTAATATATCAAACTCAACCCAAACAGTAAACAAAGAATTTGTGTGATTGCAGCATTCTATTCTTTAAGGTATTGGCATTATTTTACAGTTATAGGTAGAGAAAGAAAACATTTTTCAAATTTAAAATCCTGTTTGGAAGGTAAGAAATAAAACTAATAATGTTAGTGTGGTTATATAATATATCACACAATATTCCTATTGCTGTAGCATAGCTGTCTCGGTGCTTTAAGAAAACCTTGAATTTGTTTGTGTTCTCTCAAAACTGCCCACTTTTTCTTCATTGCCGTGTAAAATGTGTAAATAATGACGGCTAAAACTAAATGTTGAAAATAAACTGGCTTCAGAAATCCAAATTATATTTTCCATAAGTGATGAACCTCCATATACTTATTCAAAATGCATAGAGGTCCATACTTTCTATCCCTTGTCCAATGGGGCATTGCTTTTTTACATATAATGGAGAAGCCACTTTCTTTTATCTAAATCTCTTGTGATATATTTTGTTTACATTTTTTATTATCTGATAATACTGTTATACTTGATTTCCAAAAATTGACACAAAAACAGTCTATAAAACTTATCAAATAATTACAAACAAAAAATTAAATGAGTAATAAAAAAATTATACCTGCATAACACCATAGACAACTGACAAAAATTGGGCTGGTACATGTCCCTTCCATAAAGCTGCTACTTTTTCTTCTCTAATGATACACTGAGTAGCATGTGTTAAACCTCGATACTTTGAAGTGACAGCAGTTCGATGTATTGGCTCAACCTGAAGCTGAAGAACAGAATCAGAAAACAGTGACCTGCATAGCTTAAAAAAAGATATAAATGAACACTTTATAGCTTGAGAAGAAGTGTAGTCACTGAGTTTGATAATTTAATGTTAGCTCCAGTTTTGCAGTTATCAAAGTATCAATAATTCTCAATTTCTCTTCATCCTCGGATCAACTAAAAATCGCAAAGTTTTCACTAGTGATATCAACTTTATACTTCATAAAAGATGGGTGGGAATATATTTCAGAGGTTCTTCCCATTTCAAAATTATCTTAATTTTAAAAATGAACAATTTAAGTCATGTAGATTTACATCTGAAATACTGAGAGCCAGAATACTCACACTGAAACAAAGAAGAGAACCTGAGACTGTCAGAAAGATCATTGGTTCGCCAAAAGTAAAATGTCCGCCAGGAAGGTAGGAAACAAGTTAGACCACAACAAACAAATTATGTGGCCAAGCACGAGTAGAATCCAGAACCACAATAAATGTTAATGGACTGAATTCATGGGAAAACCGAGTAGAATTCTACCAAAGGGAAGATACTCAGAAAAGCATTTTTCTATGGAGGGCACTTCCTCACTCTATACCCATTAATAATATATAAATATATAACAGCTGGAGTTCCCATCCCCTGAACAGAAGTTATGTAAATTCATGATTAACTCTCTCCACACAGGCTCAGTCACTTTAGTGTTATATCCAGCAAGAAAAAAGGGCAGGGTGGCATGCATGTGGCTTATTAACTTTAGGGCACAGGTCATAATTTACTTTATGTGCATGCTTTTGAAAAATATATCAAAGTTAATTTCATTATTTGTATAGATGTAAAGGTATGGTTTTCTAAATAATAAAAATAAACATTTACAACTTTATTTTGTTGTTAATCATATTTTATTAATCAGCAATTAAATGATTAAATTACTGATTTTTCCAAGCCCGTTCCCTTGGCTGTGGTTTCGCTAGATAGTAGATAGAGACAGTGGGAATCTCGTTAATCCATTCATGCGCGTCACTAATTAGATGACGAGGCATTTGGCTACCTTAAGAGAGTCATAAGTGTTAATGAGAGTGTTAATATGAGTTTCTCATATTCCTGCAGACAACTGTGGATTAATTTAATGACAAAGCCTTAATCATTCTTTTCCTAACAACATTTGAGTTGGGTGCAGTATGCCACAGTCAACACTAGTTTTTTCTGCAGTTGCTTCTTATGCTTTTTACATTCTTAATACTGGCAGAATTAACCTCATACAAGTTTAAAAAATAGTGAAAAGAACGTACATTTTGTAAGTGCTTTCGTGAGCTTTTGGCTTGGTGTTTTAATCAGAGTAGTTTGTAGTTTCTGCCTCTTCCTTGGCAAAATTGACCTACAGCTATGCAACCCTTTAACACAGAATTCATAATTCATCTTAGCATAACATACATCAAAGTACAATATTCTGGGACTTCTGTGAATGTCATCTCTTAACTACTCTCTCTAAGTCCATGTATTTGTCACACTTCCTGATCAGTAGGAGTTTGTGGACAGTTTCAACTTTCAGTCAGTTTCTTATGTCTGTTTCTTATAGTCCGTATGCAAAGTAATTTTCATGTTAAATTAAAAATACTTTTCTTCCTCTCAAAAACCTCAAGTTTCATTTGTGTAATCTTTAAAACCTCCTGAATATATTTCAAATGTTTCTTTTCAGTAAAATTGTATATCTTATCTTGTATCTGGTTGGTCAATTTGACTGATCTCGTAACCACCAAAACAAAATCTAAGTAAATCTAAATTACCCTCCTTTTCTTTCTAGAATGACTTCAAATGTAGCGTGAAACTACATTTGTTTATCCTAAGTAGCTTTAAACTCATAATAGTATACATCTATTTATAATTAAATTTTGTTTTATTGTCCTTTGAGCCATATCTAACTACTATTCATGCCATTAAGTTGTAAATCACTTGGGGAACGTGCAGCTCATGTTATGTTGTCAAATTACATTACCCACAAGCTACTCTGAACTGCTTGTGTGCATGCCTCATGAAATCTTTTTATTATAGTATTATTATTATTGTTTGTTTTACTAATCTAACCTTAACTAACCTAAAGAGATCTCTATTTCTTACATTTTAGTTACTTGTATAATAGTAAATAAAGAATAAACATAAAAAACAAGAAATAAAGTACATATCCGAGTATTCTTTTTTTTTTTTTGCTGTTGGCTATCAATGATACTTAACCCTACATTTTTTATACTAATGGTAGTAGTGCATTAAATAATTTTTATTTAATTAAATAATGTACTAAAGAACATAGAATAACAACATGGAAAAAATAGGCAATTTTCTCTAACAATCACAATTTTTCTGGCTTTTTTTACTATCCAACAAGAGCCACTACAAATGCATCCAAGCTAGCTGTTGTGATTCCTATGGGAACCAAAGTTGTATTAGAAGTGAAATTGACTATTCTGTGTTCAGAACATAACGTAATAGAATACATCGCTTGACAGATGAAAACCTCGACTTTCTATTGGTTATAGATAATATATAAGTAAACGTAAGAGAGAACTATTAACAAATCCTGAAAGAGAGGATGTGACAGGTGGTTGTGGCAGGAGGGGTCTGATTTTCTATTTCATAACTCTGTAATCTAACAAAATTGAAGGTTATAAAAATAATGGTTTGTCTGAGCAATGACAATTTCATATTGAATAATTTACGTTTAATTTCATAGTTTTTTTTTGGGGGGGGGGGTGGAAAAAATAGAGATGAGAAGATACCTAAAGAAAATGTGTCACATGTCATAAAAACTGCAAAACACACAATGTGAAAACACACATTTGTGTATAACTCTGCATGGACCCAACAAACCTTCATGACAAATCTGGTGAAAATCCATCAACAGAGGGCAAAATAGTAGAAGACAATGCCCATAAAAATTTCAAAACACAAAACTGAAATTTTGTATATATATCTCCCCATGGACCCAATGAACCTTCATACAAAATTTGGTGCAGATCCATCCACAGGAGGTAAGGTAGTGGTAAAAAATGCAAAAATTCCCATAAAAACCAAAAAATGCAAAACTAATCATTTGTATGTATGTATGCCCGCATGGACCTAATGAACCTCCATACCAATTTTGGTGAAGATCCATCCATACTCTGTGAAGTAGTTACATGGACTATTATATTTATATAGATGTATAAATTAAAGACATGAGGAAATAATAGAATCTGAGGAACCATGCACATTCTCACAGGTGGTGGTGTAACATGTAAAGACTAGAATGAAAACTCTGTCCAACCCAAAGAACCAGAAGTGAAGGATCCCACAGATGCACAAATGAGCCAAGAAAAGCCCCCTAAAAGTCCACATGGTGAAATAATCTGGAACAGAAAAGTATAAAGAAGACCACCCACCTTCCTTACTTCTACATTTTTATTACAAATGAAGGTTAAAAAAGGAACAAGTAGCATATGTCAACTAAAATGACTAGAAAACAGTCAAGAGGATAGAACTACAATCAGCTCTTGCAGGTTTACTTCTCCTGAATGGGAAACAAATTCAGGTGAAATTCCTACAAGTAACAAAATGATGCAGGTACGTACTTACTTGAGCAAGCTAAGGTGTGAAAGGAGCATAAAGGCCATGTGGTAATAGAAACAATATCACTGAGAGCTGCAGCTGAGGAAGATTGCAAGATAAATATTTGATTCTGACTAAAAGAACCAGAGTAGCTGATAACTAACATTTTGTGCAGAATAAGAAAGCCTCAAAATGAGAAAAATCAGAGCATGCAGAACAGAAAACTGACGAGTCAAGGTAGAAAGACATGTGGAAGATCCCCATGTTATGAATGTAAGAAACGTGAAAGTTATTAACATTCTGCTGGTTCCTACAAGCAACTGCAATAACCTGAATATCAGGAGAAAATGGTAGAACTATAATTCCAGAAATGGATCATCAAACCTGTCACTAGTGCCCTCAGGTGTAGTAGAAATAGGTTCAAGATTTAAAATAGAACATATCTGAGTAAAAAAAAATAGAAAATCAGGCCAGCAGAACGTACATCAAGATTACAGTTGGTTAACGAATCTTGTTCCTAAGACATTGAGGTGAATAGGCCTACACAAAAGAGCTGTTCTGTTGAAGACTGCAGGAAAAGAAGGTGTGAAACAACTTTAGCATCCAAGTGTTTATTAAATGTGCCATAGACATCAGATAATTCACCATTAATGGCCTGAGTACATATATCAATGAGGGTTGACAATGCAGCCACAAGTATTAGTATCAGAATTCATAACAAAGTTAACAGCAAAGTTAAGTACATCAAGATTACAGTTGGTTAACGAATCTTGTTCCTAAGACACTGAGGTGAATAGGCCTACACAAAAGAGCTGTTCTGTTGAAGACTGCAGGAAATGAGAAGGTGTGAAACAACTTTAGCATCCAAGTGTTTATTAAATGTGCCATAGACATCAGATAATTCACCATTAATGGCCTGAATACAAAGATCAATGAGAGTTGACAATGCAGCCACAAGTATTAGTATCAAAATTCATAACAAATTTAACAGCAAAGTTAAGTACAGAGTACTTAATTGTTATTATTACAATAAAAAACTAGTTTTATATTGAATTTGAGTTTTTATTTATACATTCATAAGAAGTACTACATTTATTTAAAATTTTATTAACATAATAAGCATGAAAAACAAATGTTAAACAACTTCCTAAAGGAAAAAAGGGCAATGGTAATATGCCCTTCAAACTTTTATGTGCAAAACAGATGATTCTTTCCACAAGGATCTCCTGACATGAAATTACCATTGAACACTTGATTTGAGGGGTTTTAAACTGACCCTACACAATGGTCACAGACTAATAGTCTCAAACTACACAAGTGCTACCTACATAAAGCTTTCAAGTTACCCTTAATTCTAGGTAATTTGACATTCAGAATTTGAAGTCAAATGGTTGAAAGCAACTCAACAAGAAAAGACTTTTAGTATTTCATAGGTATGTCTCTGATTAAAACTTTCATTTTAAGGTTGTGAAACATATAAGAAAAAGTGTTTCTGATTTATAAATCTGTATGTTTGTGATGCATAACACTCCATTGCTGTTGATTCATATTAAAAAACACACCTGACTGTTTTAACAGAATCTAACATACCTATCATTAATGAACAACCCATTATATTTGGTCACGCTGAGGATGTAGAAGCAAATAAGAATTTGTAAAAATTAGACAACCATAAAACTATAGCCAACTTTAAAGTATGAAAATTTGGCAACACCCTTTCTCCTGAAGCTGTTTGTTTATACTTCTTTTTATAACCTACACATGGCTTATTTTAAGTTAAAATACACTTCTTATGTCACTCAATTATCAGAAAATCAAGTGTCACAAATTGGAAGCACTGAGTATTTTTAAACAGACATGCTGAATCAAAAGCTACAAAAAATTAACAAGAATCTAATCCAGGCCATATCACTTACACCAGTTCCTGTTTCATCTTAATGAATATTATAAACTATAACACTATAGTCTCTTACCCAATCCAGGAAGTAGAGCAATAATGGCTAGATGATGTAATATTCAAGGGTTCAGAGAGATGTTAATGTAATGACTCACTTGTATTAATGTTTTGATCCTTCCATTTATTCATAGATGCCTTTACTTAGCAACATGCATTTTGCTTTATCCCATTTGCTAGACTGTATGTTGTACATGCACACTCACCAGCTGAAAAAATTGGTAATAAGGCCTCAAACTTTTGAAATAAAACAAGTAAAAAAGTCAAGAGTTGTATATTTAATTATTATGTGTATGTGGTTAGTCTGAAAAGTCATTTGTTATGCTTAAAATATCTTTTGCAGTAATTCAAGACCTTATAACCTGATCTTACAACATACTAATTGACAAAAACCTTCCCTGGTTGAAAACAATGGAGCTACTTTATCAAACATCAACATTTTCCAACACTGAAAATGTATTTCCAACAGATTCTTACCTCCAGTCACATATTATCTTTCCTTGATTTTGTGTTCCCCTATAAATGCACAATTTTTTGCTCACCTCTAGCCCTGAGGCTTCCACCTAAACTACTATATTTCCACATGATTTTGCTGCACTGTAGCATGCAAATGAACATGTGACAACCCTCCTTCAACAGGAGTGCAACACACTCTCCTAGTGCAGCTGATTTCCTCTATACTAACTGTTCAATCATCACTTCAAGATTAGGCAAGAAAAGACACACAGGAAGTGTGAGAAGAGGTAATTAGCTATTGGAAATAAATTTTCAGTGTTGGAAAATGTTAACTTTTTATATGATACCTACCTTCAATCACATATTACCTAGAATCCCACACTGAAGTGATGGAGGGACTGGTGCCCCCTTCAGAAAGCACCTGAAGAGAACCCATTAACGTATAGGGGCACACCAGTGGGAGAACATACCCTTTCTGTATCAGGATATACCCTTGGCTCATAGTGAAGATGTGCTACCAAGCCAGGTGGAAAAGAAGCAAGTGCAAAAACATAGTCTGGAAAATGGACATGCTGTATGGTATAGTGTGGCAAGGGTGCATCATACTGCACCTGGCAGGTCAACTCCAGTCCAAAACCAGGTGGCATTGGGTATATTTGATCCAGTCCAGAGTAGGAGGGTCCAAACCATCTTCATCTCCTTACCAGGATGCAGAAAGGAAAAGTAACTTCCATATCACCAACCTAGGTAGTACTCTTGTGTGCTGATCCTGTACATATCCAACATCACATCACCTGGGAACCTGAAAAGCCAGGCAACAGTAGGATGGGGAAAGCAAATGTGGTGGTCAACTCCAATCCAAAACCAGGTAATGTCAGAAAATTTTCAACTGGTTCACAGTAGGAGGAGGGTCCCTACCAACTGCATGAGTGGGGACTTATGTTTGCTGGTCCTGTATCGATCCAACACCAGACTGCCCAGGAACTGACATCCAAACAATGGTAGGATGGGGGAAAGCCAACTGGAGGAGTGAACTTCAGCAGTATAACAACCTAAGGTCTTTGGTGGATCACCTTCAGTCCAAAACCAGGAAGCAAGGGGAATTTTTCATCCATTCCATAGTTGGAGAAGGGTTTCCACCATCTACACCAACATAACACCATTGCCCTACAATCTGCTGGCTGGAATTGGTCACTCTCAGGAGGAAGCCTCCATGGTTAACCACCCTAGTGGTTAGGAACTAGTGAGGGGCAAGGGCTCAAATACTCAACTAGAAAAAACAAAGGTGGTAAAGTGCATTGGTGAACCTGGAGGAACACTACACCTAGTCTGTGCAATGGGTGACCACAAAACCCTATTCTTAAAAGCAGGCCAGTCTAGGTTTATTCAACGAGGACTAGAGAGACAGAAACAATCCTGACACTGCTTTAATCATGATGATCCATGAATAAGTACAGTCCAGATTGGACCTTGTTTAGTAAATAATATACTGCAAGGAAACCTCTAGCAGTCCTGTGGAACATCCCAGTGATAATTTCAGGCCTTAATGTACGCATGGTGCAGATTTAAATATAAGTATACCCTGGCAGACACCACATACCACCAAGCAGGATTCTGAAATGTAGGATAGGGGCCCCTTGAAAGATAAAAGATAAAGAAAAAGAACTTACCCAATCTGAGCAGGTAAAGTGTATGTAGAATGGCGATGGGAGGAAATTTATATCCTGAAGAAGATATGGCCAGATGATGAAGTTAATGCGCAACAAAAGTATATGGGGTAGTCCGCGTGGCCTCCTTCAACAGATGATGGAAGTGAGTAGCCAAAGAGAGAATAAGGTGAGAATGGTGAGAGGAGACATGAAAGAGTCTATGTAAATCTAGGTCCAATGAAGCATAGACTAGATGGATGAGCTGCTGTAGCCCTCCCATGAGGGTAATGGAAGAAATATCTTAAGGAAATGAGGAATTCCAGAGAATAAATAGATGGGAGCATGAGCTGTGAAAAGAAGCAGTGTGGGCCAAGTAAAAATGAATTGCACAGATGGGACAGAGAAAATTATCCAGATTGCAATAAGAATAAAAGTGAGAAATGAAAGGAAGGGAAATGGGAGTGAATGCACTGTCCCCTTCAAGAGCCACCAATGTATGATGGTGAAAATTACGAGCACGATAACAAAGAATATACGAATGATGGAAAATAACATAGAAAACATTATTAGCGCATAGAGGCAAAATGTAAGAAAAAGTACTAAAATGAAAGATGGTACAAGGAACAAAAGACTAAAGGGACAAAAATAGGAAGGAAAACATTCAGGTTCCAATCATGAAGGACTGCAAGATGAGGAGGATGAAGGTGGCAAAAAGAATGAAAGAACATAAACAGGAGAGGAGAATACACCTCAATAATGAGAAAACCTGAAAATATTAGGTAGAGTTAGAGTATAGCCAGCAATAGTCAAAAGTGATAAGCCTTGGTCAAACAGCCATGAAAATATTCAGAAAGATGGGAATAGAAGAACAGGAAGGGGAGAAAGCATGATGCAGAAACAAACTATGGAATGTTCACCATTTTAGTGGATAGACAATGAGGGAGTAAGATCAAACAGAACAAGAAAGAAGCAAGGCTATACATGGATGTCTGAAATGTCCTGCAAGGGACTGGACAAAACCCACACATGACGGCAGAGTGACGACACTGCTGGATGGGAGAGGGAAGAATGAGGCTGAAGAAGTGTGACAGAGGGAGAGAAAGAAGAGGATAGGACTGGAAAAGGGTCAATAGCAGCAACAACAAGGTTATCAGGAGGACTCAATACGAAGTGTCCTGAATGAGGGAAAGCACACGAAGGAGAAGACAAATGGGAGAATAGGCATAGAGAAAATGGTGGGATCAGTCCTGACTGAATGCATCCAGAGCTAGAGAAGAGGGTGTTCCTCTTTCTTCCTCTCATTCTCTGTTTCCAGGTGTCTCTTTGATGAGATGGGGTGCATGTCTCAACTCTCAAGTGAATTCAGGTCAGTAGTCCCATGACAAATCATTCCTTCATATCCATCTCTTAGAATTTTTGCTGGTACGTTGGTTTTGGATAATATTCTTATGATGATTTGTGGATGTCTAGTGATTATACATACAGTCAACTCTACTGTTGTCACCTATATAAATTGCCAGGGGGGACATTCAGTCTTGCTCTCTCTGTTTCCACTCTCACAACCTCTTTTTCTGGGCCTATTATTTACAAGTATGTCTAATAGCTTGTTATATTCTGTGTGCTGTAAATCTTGTTGTGGATTGTCTCTCAAGGTCTGACAGGATACTTCTTACAGAGTGGTCCCTCAATTCTCTGGTGTTCAAGTGGCTGTGCTCCCATCTGAGTATTCCTCTTCTAGATGTTTTTGCCACTCATCTCAACACCATAATTACCCTTTTCTGGTCCCCTGTTCCTCTTCTCTCAATGGTATTGGTTTTATAAAGTCACCAGGTGAAGTCTTTGATTAAGAAGGAAGGAGAATGGTGGAGGATAATGGACTCCAAACAAGGATCCAATGATCATGCAGAGTCCATTGTAGATGTTGTAAATTAGCACAACCCAAGGGGATATGGAAGGATCCCTTGAGAACCACAAAAAGACAAATAAAATCCTGGAAAAGAATGAGAAACCTGTCTGATAGCATCTTTAGCCATTAGGTCCAACACTGCCACAGACCAACACTGGCAAGAAACAAGATCCCTTAGAGGAGGAAAAGTAACAAGAACAGGAGACAATGGAGGAGAAGAGGAAAAAAACAAAGGCCTAGAGGATATTCACTGCCAAAACAGACAGCACTGAAGTCTACGAGTGGCAGGAGGACAGATGGGAACAGTGGAACAGGAAGTTTTGACAGGGAGAGAAGAGGAAGGGGAAGGACAGGAGACAGAAAGAAGCAGGGTACAGAT